GCGAGCAAGGAAACAACATGGCGGACATTGCCGACATTTCGATGGAAACATACAAGAAAAGAATTCGAGAGGACACCGGTCCCGGTTTAGTGCAACCCGCGATTCCCGCTACCTCAACATTCGAGCTTAAAGGACATATTCTTTCCGCACTTAAGGATGTTCCATTTTCCGGGAAATATCATGAGGATGCTTACAAACACCTTGATGAAGTCAATGACATTGCTGATTACTTCAACATCCCGAATGTTCCACGCGAGACGGTGTTATTGAGAATGCTCCCACTCACTTTCAAGGGAGCTGCTGAAGACTGGTTAAAAGCGCTTCCACCCGATGCAATTACTACATGGGCACAAATGTGTGAACAATTCTTAGAGCAATTTTGCCCACCATCAAAAGTGTCCAAACTCAAGAAGGCAATTGCTAACTTTTAGCAACAACCAGGTGAATCACTTTACGAAGCATGGGAGCGTTACAAGGGATTACTTAGAAATTGCCCCCAAAATGATCTTAATGTGCAACAAGAAGTATCAAACTTCTACGATGGGGTAAATGTGATGACAAGGCAACTCCTTGATTCTCAAGGACCTTTGACGAAGAAAAATCCCTCTGAAATTACGGAGTTAATTGAAGATTTTTCTAAGCATTCGCGTGAGTATCACAATCCTCGAAATAATGGAGCTAAAGGAATTGGGAGTGGCACTTCTGAAGACATGTCGGCTGTTTTGGCTATGTTGAATAATATGGATCGAGGAATGACGAAGATGGATCAATCCATATATGCTATACGTGTGGGTTATGAAAAATGCAACGGTCCACATTTGACAAAGGATTGCCATTTGGACGAGAACGGAAATAAGAAAGCCCAAATATGCTACTCAAGTGGAGACCGCTATGATGAAGACTGGAGGAACCCAAAGAAAGAATGGTTTCCATACGATGAATACAAAAAGCAAAAAGACGAGAAATTTAGGCAAACAAGCCGAGGCTTCTACCAAAAAGAGCAACAACAACCTGAAAAGAAAGCTGATTTTGAGTCCATGCTTACTAGATTAATGGAGGCTTCGGAAAAAAAACATGATGAGACCGATGCGGTAATAAGATACCAGCAAACTCTAATGAGAGATCATCAAGCTTTACTTAGAAATCATCAAGCATCGATTCAAAACATTGAAGCTCAACTTGGTCAATTAACTACATTGGTTAACAAATGATTATCTCCCCAAATCTCCGATAAAAAACCACAACCGCATGTCATGGCCATCGACACTAAAGAAGATACTATTTCTGAGTTCTTAGAAGCTTTAGAAGAAAGGCCAAAGAAACCCGAACCACATCAAAAGAAGTCGAAAATCGAAGCCAAAACTGTTGCAGAATCACTGTCTTCACGACGTGGAGATTCAATCTCCACGACGTGGACTAGGTCTAAACAGAAAAATTCTTTGTGTGTTCAAGTCTTTCGTCCTCCGCTACCAATTCCTTCTCGAGCCAGAGTTCACCCCCACTGGAGCAAGAGCATATGAAATTTATGAAGCAAGTTAAGGGTATTCCTATTAATACTCTTTTTAATAAATCCTTGGCTAAAGTGCCCGAATATGAAAAGTTTCTTCAAGACTTACTCGACACTCGCCAACAACTAGAGAAGACTTCCAAGGTCGTCCTTAGTGAGCAGAGTTCCATGGTGATTATGGGAGAGAAGACGGGGGATCCTGGACGCCTTACACTTCCATGTGAATTCGAAAATAATATGGAGACTTCCGCTTTAGCCGATTCTAGAGCAAGCATAAATTTAATGCCTTATTCGTCTATCAAAAGCTCAATCTTCCAGATCCGAAGGCTACTCGAATGACAATTCATATGGCCAACCTTTCAGTGACTCATCCTCGAGGAATAGTTGAGGACATTTTGGTAAAATTTGGAAAATTAATTTTTCAATTGATTTTGTAGTACTTAACATGAAAGAGGATAAAAATGTTCCAATTATCCTTGGGCGTCATTTGCTCAATACCACACGAGCCTTGGTGGATATACGTGAGTCAAAACTCACATTGCGAGTAAGAGATGAAGAAATGACTTTTGGAGTGGCAGACGGATTCAAGAACGATCATGCTCAAAATGAAGTATTCAACATAGATGAAGAAAACGAGCTTGAAGAGTTGGAAGCTCCGTCAGTGAAGAGTGTACATCTTCCCATGATTTCTTCTTTTTGGAGTTCCTTGCTTTCCAATTCTGCTTCAGCTTGTAGATCATCACTGAAATTAGCCACAAAGTCTTCTAGTTCTTGTGATTTTATTGTTGATCTTGGTTTATATTTGATATCATATGTGCTTAGCTTCACAGACCACTTTGTCATCCTACCTGACATCTCTGGTTTTTGCATAACATTCTTAATGGGGTAATTTCAATAGGGTAAAAGGGTCGGGTTAATAGATCGGGTATTCATTGATTCGGTGGATAAATGTATGAATTCGATTATTCAAAACCCTGAGGGTTATTGGACTTAGGCTAATCAAGTTTTTAAATTTGTTAAAAGGGTTTGGATCAATGACGATTCACTTTAAACCCATCTCATTGACATGTCTACCAGCAACAGATGACTTTTAGCGTAAGAAAATGATGAAGAGCATAATTTGGAACAACAATTCTGTATTTTTAGTCGTTTAATTCACAATACACTTTTTGATTTATACTTTGGAATCATGTTTTTATACATGAACGGCTAAAAACTTTTCTATTCTGGTTCTAGTTCTTAATTCGACTATGTGTGATTGATTTCATCATAATGATGTTTGGATTTGATTTTAACATGGTGATTTATGCTTTTGTTTTAATAAAATGCTTTAACCGCATGAACTAGTTTAATTTGAACAAAGTTACTTAATTTATAAAATCCTTAATTGTTTTATGAATTAACACAAGTAACAAGCAATGATTGGTTCAAATCATATTTTTTTAAGCTTTTAGGATTATAAGAAGTATTAAGTATTGTTGGGAATATTAGTAAACAACTTAATCAAAATCTAAGAGGTTATTTGGATTAGGGTTCGTAAAGCTAAGGCTAGTTAAAGAGTTTGTTTTAATTAGAGAATTTAAAAGTAAAATGATATTTGAGCTTGTTAATATTGGTTAGTAACAACTTAAGTTAAAAAATATCTAAACATCAATTCATGATCATTTGCATATAGTTAAATAGAATGTGTAATTGAAATTGTCTCAAAATATGATTTTCTTAAAAATCTCGTCTTTACATTCTTTTATGCTATCGTTTCTTTTAGTTCCTTTTAGATAATTAAACCCCTCCACTTATTTTAATAGTCATTCATTTTTGTGTCTAGCCATACACCTTGTGCAAAAATGTATCCAACCATAGTTTTGTGTTTATGTGCATGCGATCACTGCTTCAACTATACTGTTCCTTACTATAAGTAACAATATTTTAAAACCCCTCATTGTTTGCTGGTTTGACGACACTAATACATAAGTAAAAAAAAAAAGGACATGATGATCTTCGTCCCAAATTGAATTCTTGAAACTGATAAATAGCTCATGGTACAATCGATTTGTGAAAAAGGAAGGAAAACTTCATCAATACACCCAAATTTTTTGTTTATATATATATATATATATATATATATATATATATATATATATATATATATATATATTATATATATATATATATATAGAGGTTTAGGTTCTATGGAAAACAAAAAACCCTAAAAATAAAAAAAAATGCATAAAAAAAAATACTTAGAGATCACAAATTTTTTTTTGAATTTTTTTTATAAAAAACCGCAGGTTTTTGTTAAAATTCGCTGAATTTTTTTTGTAAAAAAAAAAAAAAAAATTTCAAAATTTTTTTCACCGATTTTGTATAAAGAGCTGCGATTTTTTCAAAAAAAAGTTTTGTGATCCCTAAGTATTTTTTTTTTATGTATTTTTATGATTTTTAGGGTTTTTTTGTTTCCAAATAACCTTTCCCTATATATATATATATATATATATATATCTATATATTATATATATATATATATATATATTATATATATATATATATATGATGTATCTCAATAATGTTGATCCATGTAAGTTTGTAAAAACATACTATTGAATTTCATACGATATAATTTTTTTTCCTAAAAGCTTTTTTAATATGAATTTTTTATAAATACGAATAATTTTTTTGAAATAATGATAATCTTTAGATAAAATGTCAAAAATGTAATAGCTTTCTTGAAAATTTCCATAACACTTAATAGAAAAAAACAAAAGAAATGTCAACTAAAATTTTTCAAAATCAACTTCTTATTAACCCACTATATATATCCAATATATAAAGTCTAAACACATTGGATATAGAAACATTGAATATGTACAATACATCCTCAAAACAAGGCTTCCTTAACGGAATGGAAAACACAAAAGGAGAACATGAGCAAACCTAATCATGGAAAGAGAAATATGCACAAAAGCAGCAACACAAACAAAATAAACCAAGTAAAATGAACCCAAAATAACTATTCTCCGATTGAAGCTTATAGCTAATTGCATCAAAACTTCCTACTCTTATCGTATGACTGTTTTTGTAAGGGTAAAGACGTCTTTTTCTGGGACCTTCTTCTTACAGTACAATTATTGTTGTAAGGAACAAACAAATTGTTGATGTAGTTTGATGATACTGACCAACATAGCTGGGACATAACTCTTTTGGCATCTAGGCACTCTTGTTTTAGATCTTCATTAAATTTATTTATATAATAACTTCTTCCCCCTTTTTGCTGAAACATGGAAGCCAAGGGTGTTCAAAGTCCATTAGAGAAAAAAGGAAGGGTTCAGTGAAGCATAAAAGCAAACCCCCCCTACCACCCACTCTTTCTAGAAATAAAACAACAAAAACCTGATCACAGCTTTCCTTTTCTAGCCAAGAGTATCTTCAGTTTCAGGATTTGGTTGTTTGGTTTTCTGAAGATAGATTGATCAGAGAAAGAAAGAGAAAAGAAATCATGGGTAGAGGAAAGGTACAACTGAGGAGGATAGAGAACAAGATTAACAGGCAAGTAACTTTCTCAAAGAGGAGAGGAGGGTTGTTGAAGAAAGCCCATGAGATCTCCGTTCTTTGTGATGCTGAAGTTGCCTTAATTGTCTTCTCCAACAAAGGAAAGCTCTTTGAGTTTTCTACCGACTCTTGGTACCCTTTTCCTTTCCTCTTTTATACATCTATATATTTCCTCTCTCTATATATATTCTTATTTCAACTAGGGTTCTAAATCTGTAACAATTCTCAAAGCTTGTTTCCAAAAACAAAAAAAACCCAAAAAGCAACAAAAATAATATTTTTAATTAATCTAAACCCACTTTTGGGATCATAAAAATATTAAGGCAAACCAATCAATTCGGATCTACCAAAAACTAATATTACTTTTAATATATTTGTTTTGTATCAACTATATATGGGTGTTGTCTTCGATCCAACAGTGTTCTCATGGAATATATGTGAAATCCTCAAACTTTCACCTGGTTTTCATTTTTTATTTTTTATTTATTTAATTTTTTTTTTTTTTTTGTGTGTGTTTGGATACTCTAATATAGATATCATAAAGAAAAGGTGATTAACGTCTGATCTTCTTATTAAGTAAATAATCATGTTTCAAAGCTGCTTCGTTTTCGCATAATTTTGTCTCTTTACTTTCTTATCTTATATATAAAAAGTAACAATTACAATCAAATTTTTATATGTATAATTTACTAATCCTTGAAGAATTTAGAAAGGGTCCGTACTAATTTATCTAGTATGAGTAGGTGTCTTTGATCTTAAGGGGAATCTTTAATTATGATATACATAAATTGAGTTAGAAACACAACCATTTTTACCATGTGTGTTGAATTTTATAGCTCTAAATTTTACGGGATAATGTTCTCTACCTCTTCTCCTTCGATCGATACATTTCCATCAGATTTTCTTAATAAAATCTGACCTGGGAATATTTCTTTTCTTGTTTCTTCTGTATTAAAAGTTGAGTTGGGGAATTCATGTCAATTTTTTTAAAAGAATATTTTTATTGTTTGGATCTACAAAAATAAAGAGAATCAATACTTGAAATTAAGTATATTTCTTGGAATACTTTTGACCTTATATTTTTTACTTGCACTTTTAAAATCAACTTTACAGCCAACACCAAAGTATTTGGAGATTGAGGGTTTGATCAATGTTCATTCTAATCATTTGAACAAACATTAAAGTCTTTCTTAATTACCATGATTTAGGGTTTCTGTTCTACAACTTAAGGAGAAGCATTTTGGCTGTTTTTCATTTTATTTCCGACCAATTTGATAATTTGTTTGAGTTTTCAAAATGTTTGAGAGTCAGATGCCTCAGCGCACCATTCACATGTGTCAAAACATCAACAAGTTTAAGATCAAAACTAACAGCATTTGGTGATAGGGGACATATATAGGTATAAATATGACCTATGGTAGGTTTCTTTATACATTAACAAAATTGACATATGAGATTAAGCACAAATGAGTATCGAACATCATTATATGTACAATAAGTTAAAAATAACTTAATTATTCAAGGGCATATGGTTCTTATAATATTATCATTTGGCTCTTTTAGTTAGTTACATTAGGAGCATTAACCTGCGGAGAGTTTTTTTTTTTTTTTTTTCTCTCTTGTTCTTTCAGGTTCCATATATACAGTTCCGTTTTTCTCTTCTGTTTTCTACGCCTATGAAAAAGGCTAGTTTCCATTTTAATAAGCAAAAGTGAATCATTCATACAATTACCACTTTCTTGCATTGCTAATATCACACGTCACCATATTACAATTTTTAAAGGTGACTCCTAACCAAAAAGAAGAAGAATGTCTTTGATCTCACGATTACTGAGCTTCTTAAGGATGGAGTCACTGAAAGAATCTCAGAAGAAACTATATCAAGAAAGCAGTCGCTGTGTGAATGATTCAATTGCTTATTGAAATGGACACAAGCCATTTTATAGGCATGCAAAACAGAAAAGATTCTCATGACATTCTACGAACCACGTGACAATTAACCACTCATGTTTGACATACTCTTTTTTTTACTCAATCTTGATTTTTTTTACTCAATTTTAAATGCTATGATTAAACATGATAGTTAGTTTCTATGGCAGCTTTCATAGTCTCTAAAACACACACACACACACACACATATATATATATATATATATATATATATATATATATATATATATATATATATATATATATATATATATATATATCTATATATATATATATATACTTCTTATTTTTTAATTGGACCAAATAGCATCTAAAGCCTAGGCTCCCAATTTATTAGACATTATAATAATATGAAAATTGAACCAAATCCACACATTAATTAATTAAATTGCTACTCTCCACACTCAAGAATTAAGAAAGTTGTGCCAAAACCAAAACTAGGTTATGAAGGTCTTTTATGTTACATTAAGAGATTTGGGGGAGAGTTTATTATTAGTCTCGTAGTCTTTTAGCTTCTCTCTCTTTGGTTTTTTTTTTTTTTTTTTTTTTTTTATTTTTTTAATAGTATAATATCCCTAGTATCCATTGATTTTTCTATATATGCAAATGATTCATTCAGGTGTCTATATATTATTGTGTTCTTGCTTTGCTAAAATCATTCAAATCAAACACATTATGAAACTTGGAAGAGAAAGGAACTGGCTAAATATAGGGAAACCCTTTGTATTTATATGAAATTATTGAAAAATACCTTATAGCAAAAGAAATATTTCATAAATTTTCACCGTTTAATAAATATTTTTAAGGGTTTTAGGTTTTATTCATTTGGTTAAATATATAATACCATGTTGCATTACATAAAGTTACTAAAAAGGACACTTTTTTTAACCTTAATTTGAAGCCTATATATAATAATATATGTATACAAATCCTTCGGTAATTTATAATGTGGCAAAACAATTATGGAAATATATGTATACAAATCCTTCAGGAATTATTAATGTGGTAAAACAATTGGTGTCACTGAAGACGAGGCAAAGTATTGTCAATGTCATTCATCCTGGAATGGTGTAACCAAAAGTGAATCATAGGAAAAAAAAACATAATTTTTTTTAAATGTGTTTAAATGAAATGATTTTTTTCACTAAAAAGTTAACATAATATTTTCTTCAATAATTTAGCCCAGCAAATAAATTAAACGTACAAAAGCAGCAAAATTTCATTTATAAACGGCCAAAACTTATGCAATGGCTTGTTTTCAATATTCAAATTTTCTCTTCGGTGTTGATTGTGATGGAACAACAAGTTTCTTTTAAAAGTAATAGATTTTGCAATTGAGCATTGATCATATATATGTTTATAATTATGCTAATGTTAGATAAGATGAATACTAACGGGTTACCTTTCATTATCTGATAACAAGCACTTGAAAAGAACCATATTTTCTTCTGGGAACAATCATCTTCATCATTGGAATCTTTAATTAAGTTGCTAAGCATTGAAGTTTTACTTATGTTTTATTGTTTTGAATTCTTTTTCATTCTTTACCGAAAAAATAGCTACCTGTGTTAAAATTGAGACAATGTCAGTTAATTAATAGTAACTAAGTTATACAATTATTCTGTTATTTTGAAATTATGATCCTTTTAACCAAAAAAATCAGTTCTTTTACAAGAATTATGTTCCTGCATTTTCAAATAAGAATTTTACTTAAATAATTATAAAAAATAATCTGTCTTTTCAGACACTTCAGTGTATGTTTTCTACAACTAATTGATATTCGATTTGTTTGGGAATGCATGTCTTCTAGTTTAATTTAAAAAATAGTGCTAATAAACTATATATAACTGAATATATATATTAAAAGTATCCAATGCAAACAACTATTCCAAGTATTCTCGATTATTTGAACTATATAATCTAATCCAAATATATAATAATTACAATCAATCCAAACTTCAAAATCATAAGTCGGTTTTGGCATAACTAATCCCAAAGATTCGAATTACCGAATCATATAATCCAATCCAAATAATACAAAATTAGACAATTAGGTTTTATCTTAATAGTACATAACCTTATAAAAAAATGTGTATGTATTGCTTTTCAATAAGGTAATAAAGAATGCAAAGAACATTGTATACTTATAACTATAACATAATTACTTTTATAACAAATATAGAAAATGAATGTTTTAGAAAGATAAAAGTGGATTATATATATATATATATATATATATATATATCATATATATATATATATATATATATATATATCTATATATATATATTATATATATATAGGAGTAGGATCAAATGAAAACACCAAAAGGTTGAGAACGCGAAAACAAAGTATATTCATTTGCGATTCCATGTATTCATTTGTGGAGAAATGATAAATTTTTACGCCTTTAATTTCAATTGAAGAGAAAAGACATATTCATGTTGATTGTGCGTAAAAATTTATCATTTCTCCACAAATGAATACATGGAATCACAATGAATACATGGAATCACAAATGAATATACTTATTCTCGCGTTCTTACATTTTAGATGTTCTCATTTGATCATTTCCCTATATATATATATATATATATATATAATATATATATATATATCTATATATATATATATATATATATATCTATATATATATATATATATATGTTTGGATTTTATAACTAGAAACAGGTTACATTTAAGTACATTACTCATTTTTTGTAGTGTCTACTAGAATATGTGTATTGCATCGATGTTAGTATTAATATTTATGTTGCTTGTAATGAAAACTTGGTTATTATTTAGTAATATTGTTTCAAAACTTATAGAATAAAGGATGAAAATTGAAAGTTAAGTGTTAAACTTTATAAAAAATTGAGTGATCAAGGTGGGACAACATAAAAACATTTGAACAAATTGAAATTTGATTCCTCAAACCTTTTAGAAAAGTTTCGACCTTTATTTAACTAAGTCAACATAGCTCTTTATTCAAAAAGCTACGGTTGCCAAAAAAATTCCTTCCAAGATAATTCCTCGTCTTTAAATGAAAGCTAAAAAGGATCTTGGGTTTTGCTTCAGGCCCGGATGGCTTCACTTTTAGATTCAACAATTAGGTCATAATCGACAACGATATCATTTGTTTCGTAAAAGGATACAAAAGGTTGGTATGTGTGCCTAGAGGT